CGTACCTTGAGAGCGACAAAACATATGGCCATCGGAGGTTGGTGCAACTTAAGAAAGCTCTTCAATGTGAACACAGGGTTCGCACATCCACGCCCAGCACGGAATCCGACGTGGTTAGGCTTCGTTCGAGGGTCACGTACTGCCGAGAATCGCCTGAGGGGGGCCGTAGCCAAGGTCATCGAAACAAAGTCGATTAGGTTTATGCCGTGGCAGTTCTCGTATTTCGTCTCATCTCATTCCTTGTAGTCATCAGGAAAGACCTCATCTCTCCACGCTTGTTCAGTTATCTCATAGAGTCAGTGCGCCAGAGTATCGAAGCAAGATTGAATGGTGCTCAGCGTACGATGGTTTGCATCAGCTGAAGACTCCAGCTTCAAGGCGAAACGGAATCGTGCATGAATCATCCTTTAAGCAGGACCTGTCAGTCTACGTCACTCCCGACCTCAGCAGAGTAACTGAGAAGACGCTGACTTATGGCCGATGGAATGGCCTTTCCAGACTATTCTCTGTCCTTTTGGCCAATTCTTTCACTTTTAATCATTTATTTCATAATAACACCGCTGGAGACTTTGCCCTTATCAAAGAACCTGCATAAAACTCGCCAACATTTAGAAATTTCAAAGTTCTTTGGTTAAGGGGTCCAGCACATTACTTGGTCGCAGCTGAATACTCCAGGGAGTTTTTGATTAGTTTATTCTCATAATTAGCACAATGGCTAAGTAACCTAGTTAACGATAACATTGATGTGTGAAAACGTGGTCCAAAAACTGAACCAAAACCGGACAGTAAGCGCGTATAGTTTACTAGTAATAAGTCTGTGTTTTACTGCTTTCAGAAAAAATATCGTCACCACCATCTGATCGACACTGAAATCACGTCCCGTTGGTGCTTGTGATTGGACAACATTCTTCGCTCTAATCGGCCGTCGGTAATTGGCTAGCTGTTTCCATATTTTACTTTGCACCGGCAGTGCCGTGGTAAGTTGAGAGACCAGCCACCAGTTTGATACATCTTTGCTTCATTCCTCTATTCATATTCTTTGCTTAGTTATACCTATAAGAAGGGGATTTCTAATTATATTCAAGTAATGTTGCCACTCAGTCACTACCAACTTGACGAGACCACAGGGTGCCTACAGCGGTCACCTGTAAGTTGCCAAACTTGCGCTTCTTTACAATACTCCACCATAGACACCAATGCCAACCTGCCTTCAGCCGTTCGCCGACTTGTTAAAAAATTCTCACAAACTCCTGGGCACTAAGGAACTGAGGAAAAGGATCGAGGAGGTAAACCTTGTTATCATTAACTGCCTCCTCACTCTCGCCATTGTCTTGCAAATTTTGGAAACGTATATTTTAAAGTTAATTTGGTTTTAGCGTCTGAACGTAATTTAAGGAAAAAAACGGCAACCTCCTTAGGGCATGACGTTTAGAAATAAGTTCCGATTATTTTTTTGCTTCTTGGTGGTGTAGGCGTAACAGGCTATGCATTTAAACTCCCAATCGCGGATGCGATACGCCGATCACATACAGTTAGTGATCAAGGAAGAAGACGTTTCGAGTACCAGGTTAATTGGTTTATTGTTCTGAGCTTTCGAACTCTTACAGGTGTCCATCTTCAGGGATGTGGAGTAGCAACCAAAAGGATGGTTAATTTAGTGGCTATAGGCGGAAGTCACCAAGTTGTCAAGGGGTTAGAAACAACAATCAAGAAGGATGGGGGAGGCAATTATAGAAGTGTACGCTAATTAGCTGTCAGTGGGGTCGCGGATCACGAACAGAAGTTAGTGCGGCGCCTTATCCCCACGGTAGAGGGTCGTGGTAACCCTGCCTCCTCTTCCATATGGTTCGTCGCGGGGTCCTCTTCACTTGCCATTCTTACTTTCGGTTTGGCCTTGTTCTGTCCTTTGCCCACATAATGGCGCAAGACTTTGTAGGCCGCGGGCAGGTCTAGATGCATGTTGACAGAGTTGGTATATGAGTACCATGCCGCAAGCGTAAGCCTTTCGGTTTTTGAGGTTCCTTAGCCTACGATGGTCGCTCCTGAAGATCGAAGTCGTGACCAGTCCCTGCGATGTGTGCTGCAAGTTGCGAGTTTGGGTCTAGTCTCCGAGCCGCTAGTTCGTGCTCGTGTATGC